GGAGAGAGAGAGAGAGAGAGAGAGAGAGGAGGGCATTACAAAGACCTAAATTTTTGTTCGGGTGAATTTGATGTTTCTTTTTTTTGTAAGGGGTGGCACTAGGTGGGCACCAAGACCTGCCTTGAACCCCCATAGGCTCCTGCCTTAGACATTTCTGTCTAGACCACATTGCCTAGGCTACACCTAGGCAGTTTGTCGGTGAGCCTGCTAGGCGGCCCGGGTGGCCGACTTTTTCATCACTAGCGACACCCAAATGGGATTTTTAGTGAATTTCTCCCCCTTGAAAAGAGGGAAATAGATTATGGAGGTATTTTGACCCCTCAAAACCCTAGTATGAGAGATTTTCCGCCCAAAAACACTGTTTTTTTTTTTTACCTTGAATTGAAATATTTTTGAAAATTAATTTCAAACTCGAAGTTTTCGATTCCACATTGTGATATCGAAAGGCATTCGTCATGGGTCTGCTTCGAGGCCAAAAATGTTGCAAAAGAGAGGTTTTCGCATCCTAAAGTAAGCAATTGAAGCCTATTTCGATTTAGTTTTAAATGTTTACGTTTAGGGTTTCATTTTCTTATGAGTATTTTATTATATATTTTTTTTACATAATTTTCTTGTGTTTATGTTTGAATTTTGGTATCACCTTTATGGTGAAACTTCTTGAGTGTTTTTTTTGCTTGCTACTTTTGTTATAATAACATGTGTTTAGGTATGTTTGGCTTTGTTTCTAGCTTTAATACAAGATTGAAAATTTATAATGTACTTTTGTCTATGTTTGGATTTATTTCCATTGTATGATACAAATTTATTTATAATATATTTTGGTCTACATTGTTTGGTTATGTTTATAATTTATAATGCAAAGTTGAATATTCGTAATATATGTTTATGTATTATTTGCTTTTGTTATAATGCGTAATTGAAAATATTACTATATGTTTGCATATCTTTTTGCTATGTTTTCAATTTGTAATACAAAATTTGACAATATTACTCATATTGGGTAATACATTTGGCTATGTTTGGGGCAATTTTACAATTTAAAGTTATGTAACTTTGTATTTTTGCTTAAATGGCTAATGGATGTCAAAATTTCGCAAATTTACAGTTTTAAATTTTAAACATGTAAATTTTAGTTTATAAGAAATTACATTCTATAATTGACAATCCCCTACTTTTGTCACCCCAACATCCCCCCCCCTCCCTCCCCTCAAAAAAGTCCCCTACACAGTGGCCGACGGCTGCCCAAGCATTGGGACCCAACCACCCAGCGGCCATTTCTGTCTTCTTGAACATTGCCACGAGTGCATCTTTGAGATGAGCA